TGGTCAGGGCACATGCCCAGGTTGTGAGTTTGACCCCTGGTAGGGAACATGCAGGAGGCAGCTCATTGATGTTTCTCTCTCTCTTTCTCTCTTCCTCCCTTCCTCTCTATCTAAAGACCATATTATATATAAAAAACCAGAGGGAGGGAGAGCCCAGGAATCAGAATTTTTGTGACACTTTGCAGGGCAGTCTGATATGCAGCCAGCTTGTCGGCTTTCTAGGCATGGCTCAGGACATCTTGAAGGACTGATTTCTGGTAAAAGGAGCCAGAGTTGGTTGTAGTGTCTTTGGGGTGCAATTATCACAGACCACCATGACAAGCGGTGCTACCAGGGTCTACACGCAGCAGCATTACAAACACGTTCTGTTGAAGTATATAACCCACAGCTCATAAGTGTAGAGCTCAATGAACATGTACAAGATGCACAAAATTTACAAAGCAAACACACCTGTGTAATGATTACCCAGAACGAGATGTTTCCAGAAGGCCCCATATGGCCCCAGGGCTGGCCACTACTTTGACGTTGAACAGTATAGTTTTTTTCCACTTTGAATTTTATATAACGGGAACGATATTCTGTGTTCTATGGCATGCTTGGCTTCCTTGGTTCAAAATCATGTTTGTGAGATTCACCCGTGCACTTGTGTGTAGCTACGGAGAGCTCCGTGTGTGAATGTTACGAGATATATTGATCTATTCTGTTGACAGACATTTGGGAAGGTCCCAATGTTCAGCTAGTATAAATATGCTGTTTTCACATTTTAAGGTGTGTCTCTTAGTGGACAAATGTCCTCATTCCTCTTGAATCTATACCAAGGTGTGCCCATGCAGAGTCACCGGGTATTCAAATACTCAGTTTTTCCAAAGTGATTATACCAAGTTGCTCTCCATCCAATAGAGTATGAGAGTCAGAAGTCGCTTTAGATCCATGTCAGTGACCTGGGCACGGTTTTAAACCTCTCTCAGCCTGTGTTTTACTCTGTGAAGTAGAGCTTCTGTGAAGACTCAATAGAAGTTTTACTCTGGTGGTCGCTCTTTCCTGAAAAGCTCTGGAGTCTTTTAGAAATCTGTGCAGATAATGCTCAGGCAATGAAACTCAACTATCTCCCCAGGAGAGTCCATCAAAACAACAAGTTATGTGTAAGTTCACTTTGCATGGTGAAGCTCTCTTATATGACTGGCTGTTTGCATCCATTCACATGGGATAACTTTTTTTTTTTAACCCTTAAAAAAAAAAGTCTAATCCAAGTACATGTTTAGAGAGAGGAAGGGAAAAAGAAAGAAAGAAAAAGAAACACTGGATATGAGAAACATTGATTGGCTGTCTTCCGCAAGTGCCCAAACCCTTGATGGGGGATCGAACCGGCCAACCCAGGAATAGAACTGGCAACCTTTCGATGCTCGGGACAATGTTCAACCATCTGAACCACTCCAGCCAGGCTCATGGCATTACTTTTTGTTTCATGTTAACTGCCATGCGTCTTTGAGACAGCATCTGATACAAATGTCGTGAATATTTGTTGGAACTTCTACACGCCTTCTTCCAACTCTGATAGCTTTTGGTTTCTTATCATTTTGTTTATACCTTGACAAGTTAGAAAATCTTGAAGCTGCTGTAGGCAACCCGTAAAGGCTTATCCACAGACACAGAATGGGGACTTTATATAAAGATACATCAACTTTTTTCAGAATGTCCCAAATGAATCCAAATACTGATGCAGAGAGGAGGTGGTGCCTTAACTAGATATCAACTAGCGAAGGCTTGAAAAAAATACTTGCCTTCTTCCCCCTCTTCCCTCCTCACTTCCCCTATCCTGCCTTCCAGTATACACATTGCTTTGCAAAAATTCAGTGGTGTTTTGGTCAATCTACTTTGGAAGACAGCTCGATAAACCCTGTGACCCAGAAATCCCAGGCTTAGGGCTATTCTTACAGAGATGCATGCTCATAGGCACCCGAAGGCAAGGATGTTTAGGAGCCCCGATTGCCCACCCACGGGGTAATGGATAAACAGACTGCGAGTACTTTCAATGGCATACTCTACAGCTGTGAAAGTGAATCAATTACAACCACCTGTGACAACAGTTGACTCTTAAAGACATCATATGGAGCCAAAGAAGCCAGCCCTCACAGAATATATACTAACTAGGGACTTTTTAAAAACGCCGAGGGACTCGGGACAAATGGTTAGAAATCAGGACTGTCCTGCCAAAAGCGGGACGTCTGGTCACCTTATACTACTGGGTTCCATTTAGTTAAGACAGAAAAGTTGCAAAGTAGCCCTGCGTTGTTTAGGAGTGCACAGGAAGGTGGTAAAGGTATAAAGAAAAGCTAGATTGTTGACACCATAAAGCCAGGAGAGTGATTACTGCTGGGGGAGGAGGGGCGAAGGGATGTGTTTTTATGATGTGCTGGCAATGTTTCTAGCTCTGGACTTGAGTGCTAGTTTTATGAGTATTCATTTCACAGCAGTTTTTTAAACTGTATATGTATGCTTTAGGGATTTTTCTGTGTTTATTCAACTTCACAATATAAAAGGGGGGAAATGGGAAATAAATGGCAGTTGCTCTGGAGAGAAGTGAACATCATGTGAAGTGTGACATCCAGAGGCCCTATCCAGCCAACTGGGGGTCTTTTCAAAGGTGGGGTGATCCTTTTTTAAAAAAAATGTATTTTGTTGATTTTCCACAGAGAGGAAGGGAGAGGGATCGAAAGTTAGAAACATCGATGAGAGAGAAACATCGATCAGCTGCCTCCTCCACACCTCCCACGGGGGATGTGCCCGCAACCAAGGTACATGCCCTTGACTGGAATCGAACTCGGGACCCTTCAGTCCGAGAGCTGACACTCTATCCACTGAGCCAAACCCGTTTCGGCAAAGATGGGTGACTCTTTTAAAAAATACTTTTTATTTTTCAATTGCAGCTGATATTATATTAGTTTCACGTGTACAACCCAGTGATTTGTCATTATACCACTTACTAAGTGATCATTCCAATAAATCTCCTACTCACCTGACACTTTACAGTTATTACAATATAATTCACTGTATTCCCTCTGCCATACTTTATATTCCCACGACTATTTTGTACTTCTTCATTCCTTCCAATTTGTACTTCTTCATTCCTTCCCCCTTTCCCCCCAGACCCTCAACTCCCCTTCCAGCTGGCCACCATCAAAATGGTCTCTGATCTGTGAGTTTGTTTGTTTTGTTTGCTTATTGTTTTTTTTTTATATTCCAAATATAAGTGAAATCATATGGTATTTGTCTTCCTCCGTCTGACTTACTTCATTTAGCACAATACCTTCTAAGTCAAGTGTATCTTTCATTCCAGCTTGCCAGGCCTCTGTGATATGAAACTTGGACAGAAGTACCCAGTTTTCAAATTCAGTCTTTTGCTAAACAGGCCACCATTTATGTAGAGATAGACTAATTGCACCACTACACACCAAACCCCTTCTTTTTAAAGTTCTTTCTCTTCCCCCTCTCCCCCCTTTTCCCTCCTTCTGCCCGCAAGATGCTGGGTGCGTCCGGTTGTCTGCCACTGAAGTGGATGGAACCCCTAGGAAAACACGGTCTCCTCCCCCGGAGGAGGAACCTGGCGCCCCAACTTCCCCCCAATCTCCCCGCCACCCGGCTCTCCCCTCTCTCCCCCACTGACTCCGCGGGGCCGGGTCCCCTCGCGCCTCCGCGATTGGTCGCGGGCCATCATGTGTCGACGCTCTGGGTGGGTCTTGCTCGCTTTCAACTCATCAATCGCTTCTCTTTGGAGCTTGGCTGCCCAGTGGCTCAGACCCTTGCGCCCATTTTCCCCTTTCCTTCCTCTTCACCCACCCCTTCGTACCAGTCTTATTTTAGCAAACCCTAGAGGAGGAGGAGGAGGAGGAGGTTTTTGGAGGGGGAGGAGGGAACGCCAGGCATTGCAGCATCCGGGAGCAGCTATTGAGTGGCTAAGCGACGGCGCATACCTCTCTCTCTCTCTTTTTCCCCTGTTGGGAATTTTCAGGATTTCATTGCTGCAGTTTAACCCTAGGATGAGGCACGGTTGAGCGGAGCGCTGCGCGCACACGCACTCACACTCAGCAGAAGAGGCGGCCGCGGGCTGATTCAGGAAGATAAAAAAACAAACAAAATCACCTGGACCCTGCGTCCTCAAGACTCCTTAACACCCCCACCCCTCCCGCCTCCGCCCCGAGCGTTTCCCTCCCCTCCCTCCTCTCCTTCCCCCGTTCATATTTCTTCACTTTAATTTTATTTTTGGGCTACGGATCTTTTTGAGTTTTAAGGTCTAGGAACTCAAGCGAAACAAAAAGGGCGATTTCTTAATTTTTTTGGGGGGAGGGCTGCCCTCTCCCCAGTAAAGACTTGGTTTTTATTTTATTTTTTTCTAATAACATTTAAAAAAAAAAAAATGGACCGGGCGCGCTCCCTTTGCAAGATGCCAGCCTGACCAGTCCCCCGGAGGAATCTGAAGCCGCCACCGCGTCCCGGGGGGCGTCCTTGGCCAGCCGTCCGTGTCTTCCAGGGGGTGTGCGTTGGTTGTGTGTTTTTAAGTGCCTTTTTCTTCCCCCTTTTTTTTTTCCCTCTCGGAGTGGGTGGCCTGGGGATTGCCTGGATTCCTTGCTCGGTTATTTTTGCCTCGCTTCCCTCTCCCCTCCCCCCTCCCGGCCCCCGCGCCCCGCCCCCGCCCCCTCCTCCCGCCCCTCCCTCCTCCCCGGGGTCAGCCAGGAAGATGTCCCGAGCCGCTCTCCCCGGCCGGGGCCGGCCCGCCGCCTGCTGAGCCCCCGACCCACCGAGGCGCCGCGGAGCCGCCGCCGCCCGATGGGCTGGGCCGGGCAGCGTCTCCGCAGTCGCAGCCCCGGCCGCCGTCCTCGCAGCCCCGGCGGCAGCATCAGCATCAGCAGCGGCAGCATCAGCGGCGGCATCGGCGGCGGCGGCGGCGTCCTCCGCATCGCCCGCCGCAGCGGCGTAACCCGGAGCCCTTTGCTCTTTGCAGAATGGCCCGCTTCGGAGACGAGATGCCGGCCCGCTACGGGGGAGGAGGCGCCGGGGCCGCCGCCGGGGTGGTCGCGGGCGCCGGCGGCGGCGGCAGCGGCGGCGGGCGAGGAGCCGGGGGCAGCCGGCAGGGCGGGCAGCCCGGGGCGCAAAGGATGTACAAGCAGTCCATGGCGCAGCGAGCGCGGACCATGGCCCTCTACAACCCCATCCCCGTCCGGCAGAACTGCCTCACGGTCAACCGCTCCCTGTTCCTCTTCAGCGAGGACAACGTGGTGAGGAAATACGCCAAAAAGATCACCGAATGGCCATATCCTTTGCCCGGACGGAGCCCGCGGCGGCGGTGGCGGCGGCGGCGCCTCCCCCCCTCCCTCCGCTTCCCCTCTGCCAGGCGGGGAGGGAGACCCGGGGGTTGATGGGAGGCGGGGGGGTCTTCCAGGGGCTGGCAGAGGGGGCACCGGGGAGGCGTGTGCCGAGTCTCTCCACCCCGAGCGGGGTTGAGCTACGGTGGAGGCTTGGGGGGGGGGGGTACCGGGGGAGCGGATTTCTCCCGAGAACCCGTTCCAGAAGGAGGGCTGGGCCCTGGGGTCCAGCAGGGGCCTTGGTGGGGCCTTGAGAGCCAGTTCCGAAGGAGTCAGGTTCTCCCCCATGAGCTGGAGCCACGGCCTGGGCGCGCTGGCCAGGGCCGGGGAGCCATGGGGAGCCATGGGGGCACCGGCCGGGCATCCTTAGTCTCCCCTCACCAGCATCTGCAGCTGCCACAGAGCCAGAGCCCAGTTCCAGCTCGCCGGCCTCTCCACCGGCCTGGCCTTCCCCCGGTGGGGGCCCGCACTCTTGGGGGTACTTAGAGGTTTCCAGGGCCAGGAGCGAGGAGACCATGTGGCCTGCACACCGAGGGGCCAGCGCTGGCCTGAGTGGGCCGCTCGCCTGGACAGGTGGAGGGCACTTCATCTCCCATTTCCTTTCCTCTTTCGGGGTGTTAGCCGACATCCCAGTGGCCTCCTCTGGGGCCTGACCTGGAAGACCCACGATGGGCTAGCTCTCTCAGGAAAGCTAGGGCAGGAGGAAAATGTTGGGTCCTGCCTACAGGGCTGTGCCAGGCCCCGGGCTGGATTCGGCTTCTCCCACCATTGGGAGCCGCGAGGGGACACCAGGAGAGAATCAGCACCCATGTGGACATCTCAGGCAGGTAAACGCCTTTTTCTTTTCTTTTTAAACCCAAAGATGCAGAGAAAGGTGGAGACCCCGTTTTCCTCTCTCTTCGGATGCTACCAAAATGCAGACTCCCTGTGTTTCTTTAAATCTGTGCCTGCTTGAAATAAACCTTAAGGAGGGCTTAACATCTGTTGAGATGTAGGCAGGCAGGGATGGGTAATTAGTCGGGCTTTCTAGCAGTTATCTAAGCATGACCCAGATTCCAAAGTGGGGGGAGCGGGGGGATGCACCCTGCTCCCCAGGCTGACTGGCCACCGTGTCATGCCCAAAGGTGCCACTTCTTGGCAAGGTTCCAACCGGCTGCTCTCCGTGTGAAAATGAACTGGGCCGCCTGGGTCCCCGAGACTTGGCAGTGAACCCCCATCCATTTGGCCTGTGATTTCGACTTCCATGCCCGACGGGGCTGGGCCTCGGGGTGGTCCTGCGTTGGTTACTTGGGGAGCACAGTGGTGGATGGATTCGCTTTCAGTGGGACTCAGGATTGAGCCAGGCCTTTGGCTTCTGGGTGCTTACATGGTCACCGAGGTTTCGGAGTGTGTAAACAGTGTACGGTGAAGGTGGTGAACATGAAAGAGTTCCAGCTGGGGCCCATCTGGAGGGGTGTACCCCCTCACCACCATGGGTGCCCAAAGCAGGAGCCAGGTCTCTCTGCCTGTGAAGTTCCAATCTCTCAGAGGTCTTGTGATCACTCTGCCTGCCTCCTCCCAGTCCCTGGAGGACTGGTGGGAGCTTGGGGGATGGCAAGGTGTCAATGTGTGCACTGCTTAGCTAACTCTGGGGGGAAGGGGGGCGGTGTCCAGGAGGAATTCACTGGCCTGACAGGTTTCCAAGTTGAAAAAGGCTTTAGATTGCCTTCTAGATCATGGATTTGGCATCTTCTAAGAGGAAAGGAAGGAGGTGGAAGTTAATGTGTCCTTAGTTCACCCCGGTCTGGCCTGAATCCTGCAGAGAGGGCTGCTGGGGAGGCGGGGGATTGCTCAGGGGAGGGGTGCAGGTGACTTAGGGAGTGTTGGTGGGTACTTGGGTTTTGTTTTTTTTTCTTTTGGCTTCCTGGCTCTCGGTAGCTTTGTGATGAGTTTGTGCATTTTGCTCTCTGCAGACAATTTTGGTTCTCTCTCTGGCCTGAGGCAGCAGGCACATTATACAGCCTCACTCTAGAAGGGAGAGCTCTCCATCCCCCAGTCTGTCACCAAGCAGGTCACCCAGGACTGAGCTTTCTCTCGGAGGATGAGAAGGGTGAGGACAGAAAGCTGGGGGCCTGGGTCCGGGAATTCAGGCCAGTCAAGGAGGTGGGGACGCCGAGGAGTCAGTGTGCCGGGGCGAAATGTTGACTCCTGAATCCAAATACTGCTGCCCTTTAAGGAAGTGTTTACATACTTATTCTGAACTTTTAGAATAAAGTCTGATGCATGTACAGGAAAGTGCCCAAGCTGAGCTCAGCTTACAAGTGCTCACACAGTGAGGGCAAGCATGCAGCCGGCACCCAGGTCAAGAAAAAGGATGTGACCAGTCCCCTTCCACCTCCCAGTACCTCCCTCCTGCCCCCTCCCAGTCATTCCCCAACAACAGTAGCTGTTTCCCTGATCTAACTGCAAATGACTCGTTTTGCTTCTTTGAACCTCCTGTAAATGGGAGTCACAGGCTGTGTTATTTTGCATCTGGCTTCTTTAGCTCAACAAGATTTCATCCATGTTGTGGTGAGTAGTTCTAGGCAGTTCCTTCTCATTGCTGTGTGGTATCTTATCGTGTGACTCTAACAGATGTATTTATTTTGAGGGCCCCTGGGGTAGTTTCTAGATTGTGCAGTTGGGAACGTGGTTGTACTCGTCTTTCGTTAAACTTCTACTTTGCATTTCGCTTGGGCCTGGGCCTCGGAGTGGATTTGGCCCGCCATTCTCTGACACGTGTGTTTTTAGAAAGAGCATTGACCAAGGGTTGTAGTTGAGTCTGGAAAGCAGCTTCCTCACTGTCCTTGGAGGATGAGTGAGAGTGCAAGTTCCATGAACTTGGCTGTATGGGTCCTGGGCCTAAAAGGGTTACTTCACAGCGTGGCACGCTGGTGGAGGGTGCAGCCTTGATTTCCCCATGCTTACAAGCACCTGGCCATTGTGACTTCTTACTCTCTGTGCACACACCCACACCCACACCCACACCCACACACACCCCAACAGTGCAAGCTTGAAGCCAGCAATGAGAATGAAGCATTCTCATGAGTTTTATTTTTTTGTTTTCCTAAGTAAGAAAACTGAAATGGAAGGCGTGGATGTTCAGATTCACATGGCTGCTGCCTTTTGCTCTTGGAGTAGGCCGGGCAGCAAGCCATCCTGACCACACACCTTGGTTGCATGCTTTGGTTGATTGGAAGTCTGATCCAAAGACGGCTGTGACAGGCTCTGATGACGGCGTCTAAGGAGCGCAAATCTGTCAGCTCAAGAAGTTGCATCTGTCAACCTTCCTAGGGCCCCCACTCAATGCCGCTCGCTCCTTCTGATGTGCCACCAAGCACCACTGTGAATGTCATCTTCCTCCAGTCCTGCTGATGCCAGCAGATCTCCCACGGAGGAGCAGGGTATGGGAATTTGGGCCATTGCAAGAGCTGTGGACCCAGGGCTGTGTGTTTGCACGCTCGGCCTCCTGAATCACATGTGGACTCCGGCTTCTCATCTGTGTTTTTGGGAATCCCAACAGGATGCCCAGAGTCCCACCACATCAGGTAACCTGTGGACATTGGCTGACTGGCATTCCCCCATGGTTTTTTTGTGTGTTTTTTTTTTAAAATATATTTTATTGATTTTTTACAGAGAGGAAGGGAGAGGGACAGAGAGCTAGAAATATCGATGAGAGAGAAACATCAACCAGCTACTTCCTGCACACCCCCTACCATGGATGTGCCCGCAACCAATGTACATGCCCCTGACCGGAATCCAACCTGGGACCCTTCAGTCCGCATATCCACTGAGCCAAATTGGTTTCAGCATTTTTTTTTTTTTTAATGAAAGGCTCTTTAAAGATAACTGAGAAGCAGAGGGAGCTCTGGGAGAAGTCGGAGCCCATCCTGAAAAGCTCATCTAGAAGATACTTCTGTAGAGGGCAGAACAGTACGAGCCCTAGGTCCTTCTAGATCAGCATGGCTGGCATTTTCAGAAGAGCCAAATTCTGGGAAGTAAGAATTAGCGTGGCTTTTTTCTTTTTTCTTTTCTTTTCTTCTCTTTTCTTTTCTTTTCTTTTCTTTCCTTCCTTCCTTCCTTCCTTCCTTCCTTCCTTCCTTCCTTCCTTCCTTCCTTCCTTCCTTCCTTCCTTCCTTCCTTCCTTTCTTTCTTTCTTTCTTTCTTTCTTTCTTTCTTTCTTTCTTTCTTTCTTTCTTTCTTTCTTTCTTTCTTTCTTTCTTTCTTTCTTTTTTTTTCCTACAAAGGTGCCTTCCCTGCTCTGCAAAACCTGCCTCGCACTGGCCGGAGTTTAAAGCTTTAATGTGCCGTCTGAATGTGTCCCACCCAGGGTGCGCGTGTTGGTGTGTTTCGCTGCAGAAATTGAGTTAAGAAATTATCTAGCTAATCTCGATAACGGGGTACTGTGCCAGCCCCCACTCGAGTGGTATGTGTCCATTGCTGTGCCTCTCAAATGTTCACGTGCACGAGGATTATCGTGTTAAAGTGACCATCCTGGTCCGGCAGGTTTGGGGTGGGGCCTGGGATTCTACTCTTCCCAAACACTTCTAAAAGCTGCCAGAGCTGTGGTTTGTGGGGGACTCCTAGGATATCCGGGTCATATCACAGGTGCATCCTGTTACCCCCTCTTCCTCCACCCCTTTTTCTGAAAAATCAGGTTTGTTGAGATATATTAGCAAATTCACCCCTTTCAGCATACAGTCCTAGGAGTTTTGACAAATACATGCAAGTCATGCAGCCACCATCAAAGTCAAGGTAGGGAACAGTCTGTCACCCCAAATTACCCACCTAACACTCCTTTGAGCCAACTCCCCACTGCCAAAGCCCCTTGCGAGCACTCATCTGTTCTCTATCCTTACAGTTTTGCTTTCCCCAGGAGGTTGTATAAACAGAAT